ACAAATGATATTCTTCACAGAAATAGAAAAAAATTCTAAAATTCATATAGAACAACAAAACACCAGAATAGCCAAAGCAATCCTGAGCTAGTAAATAAATAAATAAATAAACATATAAATAAATAAAGCTGGAGGCTTTACACTACTTTACTTCAAACTATACTACAAAGCTACAGTAACCAAAACAGCATGGTACTGGCATAAAAATAGACACATGGAGCAAAGGAACAGTATAGCAAACCCATAAATCAACCCACATACTTACAGCCAACTGATATTTGACAAAGACATCCAAAACATACATTGGGGCAAAAGCAGCCTCTTAAATAAATGGCATTGCGAAAACTGGATATCCATATGTAGAAGAATATAACTAGACCCATACCTGTCACCATATACCAAAATCAACTCAAAATGGATTAAAGACTTAAACATAACCCCTGAAACTATAAAACTCCTAGAAGAAAACTTAGGGGAAACACTTCAGGATGTAGGACTGCACAGACTTTATGAATAAGACCTCCAAAGCACAAAGCGACAAAAGAAAAAATTAACGAATGGGATTATAACAAACTAAAAAGCTTATGCACAGCAATGGAAACAATCAACAGAGTGAAAAGACAATGTACAGAATGGCAGAAAATATTTGCAAACTACACATCCAACAAGGGATTGATATCCAGAGTATACATGGAACTCAAAAAACTTCACAGTAAAAAACAAACAAACAAACAAAAACAGATAATTCAATTCAAGACTGGACAAAGGAGCTGAATAGACATTTTTCAAAGGAAGACATATAAATGGCCAACATGTACATGGAAAAATGCTCAACGTCACTAATCATCAAGGAAATGCGAATCAAAACCACATTGAGATATCACCTCATTCCAGTTAGACTGGCCATTATCAAAAATGCAGAGAATAAGAAATCCTGATGAAGATGCAGAGAAATGGGAACCCAACCCATACCTTTCACAATACACTAAAGTCAACTCAAAATCAATTAAAGAATTAAATATACACCCTGAAACAATAAAACGTCTTAAAGAAAACATAAGAGAAACACTTCAGTAAGTAGGACTGGACACAGACTTCATGAATATGACCCCAAAAGCATGGGCAATGAAAGGAAAAATAAACAAATGGGATTATATCAAACTAAAGAGCTTCTGCACAGCAAAAGAAACAATTGACAGAGTTAAAAGACAACCAACAGAGTGGGAGAAAATATTTCCAAAATATAGATCTGACAAAGGATTAATATCCAGAATATACAAGGAACTCAAACAACTTTACAAGAAAAAAACAAGCAACCCAATTAAAAAATGGGCCAAAGAGCTAAGTAGGCATTTCTCTAAGGAAGATATACAAATGGCCAACAGACATATGAAAAAATGCTCAACATCACTCAGCATCCGAGAAATGCAAATTAAAACTACACTGAGATTCCTTCTCACCCCAGTTAGGATGGCTAAAATCCAAAAGACTCTGAATGATAAATGCTGGCGAGGTTGCGGAGAAAAAGGAACTCTCATACATTGTTGGTGGGACTGCAAAATGGTGCAGCCTCTATAGAGAATGGTATGGAGGTTCCTCAAACAATTGCAGGTAGATCTACCATATGACCCAGCTATCCCACTGCTGGGAATTTACCCAGAGGAATGGAAAGCATCAAGTCAAAGGTATACCTGTTCCCCAATGTTCATCACAGCACTCTTTACAATAGCCAAGAGATGGAACCAGCCCAAATGCCCATCATCAGTTGAGTGGATTTAGAAAATGTGGTACATCTACACAATAGAATACTACTCAGGTAAAAAAAAGAATGAAATACTGCCATTTGCAACAACATGGATGGAGCTTGAGAGAATTATATTAAGTGAAACAAGTCAGGCAGAGAAAGAGAAATACCACATGTTCTCACTTATTGGTGGGAGAGAAAAATAAATAAATAAATTCACACACACACACACACACACACACACACACACACACACACAAATAAAAATAAATAAACCAGGGTGGGGGAGAAGAAGACATAAAAATTACAATTTCTTGAAGTTGACACAACAAGCATACAGAAAGGACATTGTCGGGTGGCAGGGGGGAGTGGGAGGTGGGAGAGAGGTTTTGGAAATGAGCCAAATTATCAACCACATTGTATGTCAACAAAATTTAAAAAATAAAAAAATAAAAATAGACCTCAATTAAGAGACTTTCATAGGAACTGCTGAGAAAAGATATTGGGCCTTTTTTCCAAGGAAAGATATTCTGGAACAAGTTCTTATGTGAAAACCATTTTGTGATTGAGTGACTTAGAGTGAAAGCTTAAACTCTAGTGCAATCTCTCACTTTTAGATAATTTTTTAAGCCTAAAAAATATGCTCAAAGCTGTGATGATACACTACGAGAGACAAGCCTATGCTGATTCATCAAAACAATCAGAGCCCCAAGTTTGAGATGAGATGGTAGATATACCTGCTCATTCAATAGCTCGGAACAACTCATTATTGCTCCCCTTCTTCCTCTCTTCTTCAAACTGAAATTTCTTTAATAGTACTCGCCTTCAACTCCAACTATAATACCCATATCCCATGAATAGGGGCTGTCCTCTGGGTTGCTTTTCCAGGACAATGTTGTGTCCACACTGCCCATGTACACTTGCATCTGCGACCCCAGCACCCTTGTGATCAGTGGCCTCTATTTTCAAGCATACTCGTTACAGCTGTTGACCAAAGAACACGGCACAAACTAGCCCTTGGAAACCGAACCTACATCCAGCTGAGCTAGCCAGTCATGATGTGCCTACCCATTTCACAAACATGACTGCCTTCTGATATTAGGTTTTGGAAACCTAGATGGAACTCCCAAGGGACAGAACTTTGGGATTATCTTTTCTACCTCATGAAGTTATCGTTTTTGAAGCAAACTCTTTGCAAGCAGCTTACAATCTTTCTCTTGCTGGGACTGTACTTTTTAAAGGAACTTCTGTTTTCTGTTGACATGGTTCTCTCATAAAGAAGGAGCACTGCTTTTCAACAACTTTTGTAAAGGAGCCAGTCAGAAACACCTTCTATGTATACCTTGGTAGGCACACTTCTCTGCTCAGAGGGTGAAGAATCATTAATTTAATTTTCTTTGCCTCTATGTCCAGTCTAAGCTCCAATTATATTTCCCCTAACCCCCACAGTTTATCCTCAGCCCCAGGACAAATTACGAAAATGCCATGTACTGTTAAAGAGCCAAGTACTCAATCCCAAAGAACCGGATGCTAGTGTCTGGAAAGTGGACAGGACATAAGTAGTAGAGTCAGAAAGACCGGGATTTGAATCCCAGTTCTGCCACGTTGTATGCTGTCTCAAATAAGTTAAAACCTCTGAAGCTATTCCCTTACTGTAAATGGGGATACCCATAGCTCACATATTTGATTTTGATGATAAAATAACATTTTAAAGTCTGGAATATGGTAGATGCTAAAAACAAATGTTAGCTTGAAAACACTACCTTACTGGAGTTCCATACACTGGCATATGCAAGATATCAACCACAGAGGTGTCAGTGCACCAAAATCAGGCTGGTCTCCAATTGCAAAGCTTACATTTTCCCTGCCCTGTGGATTTTTATGTTGGTGACAGTGATCATGTTGTCAATACTTTTCAATGAACTGAATTACACTGAAGATTCACTGAATCCACACCTACTTACTTATCAAAAGAAGATCAATAATGTGATGATGGGAGTCGAGGTTCGGTAGAGTTATTGAGTTTGGTGACCTTAGATTTGCATTTGTGTAGGGTTTATTTATTTATTTGCTTATTTATTTATACCACAGTGACAAGAATTATTTTGTTTTCTTGAGAGCTTACAGTTCTTTTTCTTTTTTTCCTTTTTGTCTTTTTTTCCTGACCGGCAACGGATCGCAACCCTCAGTGTCGCGCCCATACCGGACCGGGACCAGCAACGGGATCGCAACACTCGGTGTTGCTCCGGCCCCTCGCTCAGCCAGTGAACAGGAACCGGTCTGTATGTGGGATCTGAACCCTCGGCGGGAGCGCCACGTGCGCTCCCAAGCGGCCACTGTAGCAGTGCGCCACCAGGCCTGCCCGAGAGCTTACAGTTCTTTAAGAGTTCCAGAGATGGTCTAGGTTTTAAGTTCCTCACTGAGAGTCAGTTCACTGCTTAATATGCTGTGGATGTTCCTAAGAAGCTATGGGAAGTGGTATTTGCAGCCAAAGATGGATTGATTTATTTTAAAAGACGTTTAATTTATTCTTATGTGGAAGAGTTGAAAAAAGTAGACAAGAATAATCTAATGCCTCCCTACATAGCCATCACCCAAGCCTATCAACCATCAAACTATGGCCAGTCCTGTCCCATCCACACCTCCATGCACTTGCTCCTTCTGGTATTATTTGGAAGCCAATCCCGGACACCAGAGCATTTTGCCTGTATTGCAGAGACAGATTTATTAAGAAAAAGCTACAGTCCTTCACCACACTGTGACCAGAAGTCAGGTAGCAGTATTTTAAACTCTTGCAAAACATCACAGTAGGTCCTCTGGAACCTCCAGCCTCACATCAGCCATGATCTGAAATTGTCATCTCCCAAACCTGATTTGTGTTCGCTGGTTCTCAGAGACTTTCCCTCGGGCTGTGAGTGCTACAAGGGCAAAGAGTGTATCTTACTCCTCACCTCTGTAGCCCCAATGCTTAGTGTCCTATCATATATAATGCACTGAAAATGCTCTTTAAATAGATGCGTAAATGTGACTGAACACTTTTAGTTTCTTAAAAATGTATGTGGACTAACATTTTTGCCCCATTTTTCCTTTTCTTAAAATATCTAAGAGGAAGGCCGAGCCCCTGGCGCACTCGGGAGAGTGCGGCGCTGGGAGCCAGCAGCACTCCCGCTGAGGGTTCGGATCCTATATAGGGATGGCGGGTGTGCTCACTGGCTGAGGGCAGTGCGGCCGGTCTCAAAAAGGACAAAATATATATATCTAAGAGGAAAGTACTTGGAAGAAAAGATTCCGGGGACATGTCTATTGGAAGCAAATAGAGAGCTTCTCTTGGCGGCGGCGGCGGCAGCAGCAGCACCGGTTCTGTCACTTCACCCAGGAGCAATGTGACAACCGCAGAGGTCTCAGACCCCGCCAGAGGTCTCCTGGTCTCATCTACCGAAATGCCAAAAAGTCCAGCACATCAAACGAAGAGTTTAAGTTGTTACTCCTCAAGAAAGACAGTCGCTCAGATTCCAGTTTCCGCATGTCTGCCACTGAGATCCTGAAGAGTCCCATCCTGCCCAAACCTCCTGGGGAGCTCACAGCCGAGTCCCCTCAAAGCACCGATGATGCCCATCAGGGGTCACCTGGGGCCGAGGCACTGTCCCCTCTCTCTCCATGCTCTCCACGAGTTAATGCTGAAGGGTTTTCCTCGAAGAACTTTGCCACCTCAGCATCGGCAAGGGTTGGACGTTCCCGGGCACCCCCTGCGGCCAGCAGCAGCCGCTACAGTGTCCGCTGCCGGATGTACAACACGCCCATGCAGGCGATCTCCGAGGGAGAGACAGAAAATTCCGATGGGAGCCCGCACGACGACCGCTCCTCCCAGAGCTCCACATAGGCTACCTGTGCCAGGCTGCCTGTCAAACGCCCAAACCCCTAGTTATATGAGGATGTAGGATCGGAACAGGGGACTCCGGGGCAGTCACAACAGGATGGGGTAGCATCGCTGCTTAGCAATGAATTTCCAAATATACCGCTGGGGAAATGGGAAGTGGTTTAGTCACTCTTGATCAGTTTCCATGTTTTAAGTAGCTGCACTGTCTTTCCTGTTTTTCTTTAGCTTAGTTTGATTTACCCAGTCTCATTCGTTGTGATAATAGAGGAGACAAAACTGTCTAGCTTTCATGAAACCTAGAAAAAGTTTTCCCAGAGCTGCCTGTTCAGAAAATAAAGACATTACTGTCGTGATTCTTTAAGAAGATTAAATTACTCTGGAGGTTTGGTATTTTTATACATTAAAATGAACTAAAGCAAAATTTAGAAGAAAGTACTACACATATGTAAATACCATATTTTTGATAAAAATGTGTAAATAGATTTATCAATGATGAGTGGACATGTGGCCAATTATCTACCACACACCAACTGTTTATAGAATACACAAAAATAGTGTAATAACTGTATTCTGTGAATACCATTTACATATCAAATACCATATTTAAATATCCACCAATATTATTTCTGAGTGATAAACCTCAAATACGAATTTAAACTCGTGAAATAAAGATCTTGAGGTCATATACTGAAATGTGATTAATTTTAAAATAATGAATTCAGACCTAATCATTTTTGTGACAAATTATAGCACCAAACAAACAACAGCAACTTGTGGCTGTAATTTGCCATGTGGTAATTTGGACAGAATGAAAAGCATGTTTTTGATTTTTTTTTTCTTTTTTTAATCAACGGGAGAAGTCATAACTCTCAATACAATGCCCTGAACAACAGCATTTGACAGTGTCCTTAGACTTTAATTTTTTCAATACATTGCTTTAAAGAGAATGAGTAGGGAAAACAGTAGTTAATTCTAAGTTATGTTTTATATTAGGCTACTGCAGACATAAACAGTCCTTAGACAGTTTAGCAATGAGTTTTCAGTGAAGCTTTCTCTCTGTGCTGATAAGATTCATGCTACCTTTTAAAAATGAACAGAAATGCCACTGTGAACAATGTAGTTGGGAAATAGGTATGTGTATATGCATTATTTACATTCACTGTTAAACTGGGAATGGGGAACAGCTCTGGTTCATAATGCTACATACAACTGAGTTTTTGTCTGGGTTTACTATATCTGCTTGATGGCAAACGGGGAGGGTGGTGGGTAGGAGAGGAAATGTCAGGGCAAGTGCTCTGACAAATGAAGGCAGGGAAACAAGCTGAATTATTTGAACTAATTTGAATTTTCTTGTCTTAAAACTAAAAAAAAATGTAGTTACAAGTTGAAATCTGAAAATGGTTTTTATACCTCTGATATTATGATACTAATGTTTGGAATCATATGTCAGAAATATAAGCAGCTATGCACTCAAAATAGGTTTTGAATGAGAGAGGTAGAAAGTAGAGAGAATGTAGAAGGGATATGACCTATGAAATTCTAGAATGTGATTAGAGTGATAGAATGTACCAGGGTTACCAAGAAATTGATAAGCAGGTGACTTTAAGTTTATGCAAGTGGTAGCTGGGAAAGTAAGAGGTGTGAAAGGGGTTTGTGCTTTGGGATTAATTCCTGCAAAATGAAGGAGAAGCTTGGTCTAAGAAGATGATGTCTTTCAATAGAAACGCTTTTTAAGACGTTACAGATTAAGAATTAGAGAATCTGATTGCTGTTGGTGTTTTGTTTGGAAAGAAAAAAGAATGGCTTCTTCTACTACTCTGTTTTTGCTACCAAATTGTGTTACTTAATTTGTTGTATTCCTTGTATGTAAAATGAGTGCTGGGGGTGGGGGGATAGAGGAAGAGGTGGGGAGGGAGAGGGAGAGAGTGAGAGAGAAGGGGGAAAGAGAAAAAGAGAGTGAGAGAGAGAGAGAGACACTGTGCATGTATGTGTGTGTTTGTGTGTTTTTTTGTGTGTGTATAGGGTGGCAGAACTGGGGGGAGAAAGACAGGGAGTGTGTGTGTGTGTGTGTGTGTGTGTGTGTGTGTGTGTGTGTGTATTGGGTTGCAGGCCAAAGGAGGGAGAGAGGGAGGAGTGTGTGTGAGTGTGTGTGTGAATAGGGTGGCAGGCCGAGGAGGAGAGAGAGAGAGTGGGAGAGAGTGTGTGTGTGTGTGAGAGAGAGAGTGTGTGTGAGTGTGTGTGTGTGTGTGTATGTGTGTGTGTCTAGGCTGGCAGGCAGAGGGTGGAGAAGAGAGTAGCTGGCTGGCCTTCGATGAGTATGATGCCCCTCTTGCCGGATCCAAGACATTGCTAAGAGTGAAACTTGAGGACAGGCTTCACACCTCACTGCTTAAGCACCAGCAGTGGCATGGTTGGGGCTCTTTAAAGGCTTCTAGAAAGCAATGTGGGGAAGGTTAGTAGAATAGTAATATTGCTCTAAAAGAGTTTTGCCAATGATTGTTGGCAGGAGTTGAGTAAGAAGAAAATGTTAACTATATTCACTCAAAAAAATCATAAAAACAGTTTTCTGGGGTCCAACAGCAAATTAGAATTATTCCTAACAGTTCATAATGTGAAGCAAAGCAGGATATTTTGGAGGTGGGGCAGCAAGTTGTAAAATATAAAATCAAAATCTTTCACTATTGATGTGACCTTTGGTCCATGCAGCTTGTTAGTTTGATGATGTTTGTCATGTAAAATTTTTGGACTTTGGTGGGTGTATTTCTGGTTTATAAAAGAACAAAAATGAGTGGGAAAAAATAATTTCATAAACTTTGTACTTTAAATTTTATAGGTAAGAAGATTTCATTATTTGTTTGCTTTACAAAGGATTTTCAGGAACACCTACAAGAAGGAAGAAATTTTTTTTTCCTTTTTGTCTTTTTTCCTGTTTTTTTTTTTTTTTTTGTCTTTTGTCTTTTGTCTTTTTCCGTGTCCGGCAACGGATCGCAACCCTCAGTGTCGCCCCCGTACCGGACCGGGACCGGCAACGGGATCGCAACCCTCGGTGTTGCCCCCGTGCCTCGCTCAGCCAGTGAGTGGGAACCGGTCTGTATGTGGGATCCGAACCCTTGGCCATCACACTCCCAAGCGGTGCACTGTACCAGTGCGCCACTGGGCCGGCCCATTGAAGGAAGAAATATTTTGATATCTGGCTTTTGAGTGGAAACTTTAATTTTTCAAAGTGTTGAACTACAAAGGTATCATTTTATGAACTCTGAAAAAATGCAATATACATACAGACATAATTTAAAATTATAACAGTCCCCCCTTATCTATAGTTTCACATAAGCAAAGTCAACCATGGTCCAAACATATTAAAATTGAAAATTCCACACATTAAAAATTTTGTGTTTTAAATTACATGCTATTTTGAGTAGCACCCAGGATGTGAATCATCCATGGAGGTATATGCTGCCTGCCTGTTGGTCACTTAGTAGCTATCTCGATTATTAGTTTGACTTATGATATGACAGTGCTTGTGTTCAGGTAACGTTTATTTTGCTTACTGGCCCCAAAGTGCAAGAGGAGTGATGCTGGCATTTCACATGTGCCAAAGAGAAGTCACAAAGTGCCTCCTTTACGTGAAAAGGTGAAATTTCGTGACTTAATAAGGAAAGAAAAAAAATCCTATGTTGAGGTTGGTAAGATCTATGGTAAAAACGGATCTCCTGTCTGTGGAATGGTGGAGAGAAAAAAAATAGTTCATGCTAGTTTTGCTGTTGCACCTCAAACTGCAAATGTTATGGTCACAGAGTGAGTACAGGGTGGAGAATGGGGAGGAGGAAGGCTGGGTGGCCTTTGTTTCTGGAATTGATATGATGCCCCTCTCAGTTAAGATGGAAAAGGCATTAAATTTGGGGGTGTAAGACATGAACAGAAATGTGATCCTATTGATGGCATTTGGATTCAGTTCACAGTTTCAGGCAACCACTGGGGGTCTTGGACCACATCCCTCTCAGATAAGGGGACACTATTGTATTGTGTGTTACTAAGTATTCCAACTTAACAATTTTACTTAAAGTGGTGGATTAATCAAGGTAAAGTTTGACTTTGGTGATGGTAGATATTGAATATGTGATTTTCATCCTTACGTTTAACAGAATAAGATAATCTGTGCGCAGTGTGGTAGGCATCTTTAAAATTTCTCCCAGTGACCTCTGCCTTCTGGTATTCATTCTGTGTTGGCAAGGAAATGGAGCAACAAGAACTCTGATACACTACTGATGAGAGTGCAGATTTGTACAACTCCTTGTGAAAATGTTAGCAATAACTCTAAAGCAATTGCATCATGACTGGGTAATTGTACTAGGTATACTACAGGCTCAGGTGTATGTACACCAGTAGTGTCTACATATATTCACCAAAAGATATGTCCTAGATGTTAATAATAGCACTACTCATAATAACTTTGCAAATTGTAAGGATCATGTTTAAAATTTTTCATAACAATAAACAGCAAGGTTATGATGTCTGGCATTTCTGAGTATTCATATTTTGAAGTAATTTTTTTTAATCTATAAACATATCCAAAGGAATCTAAATAATATGAATTTGTTATCCACCATGTCTGTTAAAAATAGCAAAATGTCCTTTGAACAACTGAACATTTTATATTGTTTGGTTTTTGTCTAATATTTTATACTGATATTTTCTACTTCTCCATGGAATTTTATCATAATGTATTTTATGATTGGAATAAATCATGTTATTTTTATGCTTGGAACTTTTATTGATGTTCAAACTAATCTAAGGCAAAAAAAAAAATACACATATAAGTTGAATTTTTTTCTCCTATGATCATAAGTCTCTGAAGTACTAACCTTTTCATTACTAAGAAGTAATGAATTTATTATTACAGGTATAAATGTTCCATCAAAAACATTAATGAAATAGACATCCTATTTTATTCTCCCCATCACATTAGAGATGCTAACATTTATTCAGTCGCTCAGGCCAAAAAT